GTCGGATGCGATGGGGATTCTTAATAGAGTACAACGGATCACACATAACAATGTTATATCCCCTAGATATATTGATGTAGTCTTCGAAAGAATTAGCTTTAACATACAAAAGGCGTAGCGGCGCAGCTTGCTGCTCGTTTGTTATCTCACTTGTTATACGATGATAATTAAGTTTTAAATAAATATATTGTTATTTAAAAAAAAAGTTTGAAGAAAATCTTAATAAAAAAAAATCCGAGAGTTTTTTTGATTTTTACACGACCAAGTTGGAAACTAAGCTAAGCCGAGTCAACTGATCGAGTCACCGATGCATAAGCCGACACCTTCCCACCTCTCTGACATGTGGCTATGAATTAGCCTCTAAAATTTTTCCACGATTTAGCTTACTCACTTCTCTACACTCGGACATGTGGATTGCACTAAACTGACTTATTTGATCCCCAAAATTATCAAATCTTTTTCCCTATTTCATCATTTTTAATCCCAAAATACACTCTAGAGGCATGTTTATGTGATAGTGAATTCAATAACAATGTGAATGATCAGTTTTATATGAATTGATAAATAAAGAACTAAAGAGCAAAACAATGATTGAAAGTGAATGACGAGTAGAATTGTGTAGTTAGACAACTTAACTACTAAGGTGAGTACTTGATGATTTTTCCCAAACATGGACACATGTTATAAATTGTTTTGCAAGTGTTTTGATATAAACTGAATACATATAATCACGGGGAAATGTCTCTTGAGGGTAACTAACTGTTAAGTTTGTTTTCATTTGGTTCCTTTTTTCTGTACTCAATATACCATCAAGCTTGTTGTTTGTGTTCACCTTAACCATTTTGACCGACGTTTGACCTGTAATAGTTGGTCAAAGGGTTATGGTGAACACAAACAACAAGTTCGACGGTATATTGAGTACAAAAAAAAGGACCAAATGAGAACAAACTCAACAGTTGGTTACCCTCCTGATTCATTTTCCCCGAAAAGTCAAATGAAATTAAAGTTGCAAAATTATTAAAGACTGTAACCTTTTTTTGGCCATAACATATATGAAGAGCGTTTAAGAGGGGTAACTTCGTTAAAACATGGTCTATGGTATGCTTATTGTGGTTAGCTGTCAATGCCTCCCTGCAAAATGATATGACTGTGTATGGGAGGTATATTTATCATCATAAACGTTTACCTCAATGTATATTATGGTGATGTGTCTACAAAAGTTGTATGATATTGTACATATTGATCTTGTATCTTATCTCATGGATTTAATCTTAAAGCTAAGTAAATTAAAAAATCATAGCACTTGTGATTATACTCGTTTGTCGACTTGTCTAGAATCCATGATACGATAAATCATTTGATTGGAAATGTAAATATAGTCATGAAATGCATCTGCTTAATCAAGATTCCCCTAATAAATATTCAAGTGCATTACAAAGTTGTACATGTATGAATAATGTTATTTTGTGGGTTATGTTTTGAAGAAAAGCAAGAATGAATCTCATAAAGTCATTAATATCAGCAGAAGATGACGTGAGATTTGTTGTAAATAAGTAAAGGGAAAATGAATCAGGAGGGTGACCAATTGTTGCATTTGTTCTCATTTGGTTTTTTTTTTTGTACTTAATATACCATCGAACTTGTTGTTTGTGTTCATCATAACCCTTTGACCGAGTATCACAGGTCAAAAGTCAGTCAAAAGGTTTATGGTGAACACAAACAACAAGTTCGATGATATATTGAGTATAAAAAAATGAAAGGGACCAAATGCGAACAAACGCAACAGTTAGTTGCCCTCAAGAGTTAGTTTCCCTATTATCATGCTTTGAAAAGTAGTTCTAGTATGAAAGTAGGATGAGCAGTTTGTTCCAAATCCCGATCCCGTATCGATACCGGTACCGAACCGTACCGAATTTTAAAATATGGGACGGTACTTGGTACTCCAAATACATGAACTTTGGGATTCGGTACCACCGGTACCGGTATTAGTACCGAAAACCAATATCATTCCCGGTACCGGTACCGGTGATGTTAATTCGGTTCGGTACTCAGGATTGACTTTCAATAAAAGTTGGTTTTTGGGAAATCAGGAACGGTACGGGTCGGTACCGGTTCGGTCCCACGCTCATCCCTATATGAAAGTTCAAGTGAATTGTCATGAATTGAAATGTATTTTGAATAAAATTTCTCTAGCACATTGCTGCAGTTTGAAAGTGTTATAATTTGACGTTGGAAGAAATTCGGAATTATTTGTTAAGTAAATTATTTTTGGCTTTTGGCAATAAAATTTTGTTTTAAGCAAATTATTTTTGCAAAGTATTTTTCTTTGTATTGTTTTTCAAGTTGCAATTTGAAATATAAATTGGTTATAAAGGCTTGTTTAGATTGTTGTTTTGAGCTACGAAATGTTCACAACTGTGCTATTTTGCTAGTTGCTGCTTTGTGGAATCACTTGAATTTGTCTTGAAAATGATATTAGTAAGCATATGTTATATTTGGCCGTGTGAGTTGGAATACATCAACTATTTATATGTTTTGGGTTATACATACTTTGAATATTTATACATTATTGGTTATAAGTACTTCAACTATTTGTACATTTTGAGTTATATGTACTTTGACTATTTGTTATTTTGGAAAATTAGTATTTTACTTCGACAAGTATTTTGGAATAAATGTTTTGAATTGGTGTAAGTATTAAAAATGAGTACTTCAAACTATATCAATAGTTTTAGGACATTCTTTTGACTTTGACGCCTATTTGGTACAAATGAATTCTCAAAGTACTATTATAATACGAAGATATTGCATATGAAGGAAAAGAACTTGACAAAGAAGTCATTTTGTTTATGAAAAAGCTTTGAAAAATAGATGTTTTTAAGATTTATTACTTGAAAGAATGAAAAATGAATTACATAAATGTTTTTATAAATATTATTTTGGGTCTAAAACTGTAAAACTCATGTACTCACAAGAGTTTCGTTGTCTTACATATACTTCTTTTTAAATGACATGTGTGCCATATACCAAACTTTATGTTGAAGTCCACATTGTAAATAACAATCGTTGAAGGACTTAGTAAATCAAGGATTAGCAAGGGATAATTACTAGAACATATTACCCTTTAGTTTATTTGTGAAAATATTTGTAATGCTTCCTATGGTTTCTGATTGCAACACCCATTTGGTTTATAATACATTGTAAAATGAAAAACAAAACATTAGACAGTTTTTTGCTAGACAAAGACATCATTGCAAATGCTGTTGGATATTTGTTAATTCCATGCCCTTGTTAAAAGTTGGGTTGTTACATATTTTTCGCTGCTTTTAAGACAGTTCTTAGACACCTTATAAATATTTTTTATCAAAAATCAACCAATAATTAACTGCTTATAATCATTTTTTTTTTCAGAAAACAATGTAATTTTAACCAATAAAAATACTTTAAAAAATATATAAGATGTCTAAATTATAAATTTTGGTGTATTTTTAGCTGATCCTCTGAGAATCCGTCCAAAGGGTGCATTGAAGCAATGGAGGCGGTTTATGTTGTTTATATTTGGGTGAATAGTTGTAGGAAAAAGGGTTTGGATTGATAGGTTTTGTGACTTGTGACCTTTGTTTGCGCTCTTAGCTTAGTTTTCTTTCTTTATTACTAATATTTCCTTCTAAAAAATATTGTTATGTGAATATAATGGGATAATGACTTAGGAGGGTAATAAGGTTTTCATTTTGTCCGTATTAGGTCACTAAGGTTTTTTTTGTGCGTATTAAACCAATATGGTTGTTATTACCGTTTAGAAATAGTCCTTTTACCGGCTTTAACGGGTAAAAAAGACTATTTTTAAACAGTAATAACAACCATATTGATCTAATACGCACAAAAAAACCTTAGTGACCTAATACGGACAAACATGAAACCTTATTACCCTCTTAAGTCATTAACCCTAATTTTAAAGACATTGAGAATATATGACCATCAACAGTAAACTACTTCATTTAGAACTCACGTCGTCCCATATAACCTGCTACTCCTCTATATGGCGAAACTCTTCATCTATAGTCGTCCCTTTGGGGACATCCGATAAAATTGAAACGATACAGAGAAGATTAGCATGGCCCCTGCGCAAGGATGACACATACAAATCGAGAAATGGTCCAATTTTTTTTTAACCCTTCGTCGTCTTCTCTGGAACCCTAATTCCCTTTTCAAATGCTAATAGAGTTCAATTGCAATTCTTACATTTCAGTAGTTCATCTACTGAAGTCATGATCAGACAACATGTGGATTCTATGGTCAGATTGATCTTCTTGTTGATATCTTCAACCATTTGTGGCAAGTAAGGGTGATATTTCTTTCTATAAAGTCTCCTTTAAGTTTTTTACTTTTCTTGTCATTAAGTTTCATGCTTTATAAACTTCCGTTGATGTGTTGTATATAGTATGTATGTATTTGTTTATGTGCTGATTTTTTTATTCATTTTGCAACTTCAGTTTCTTAGTTCATGTTGTGGTTTTGCTTTTTATAAAATAATTGATAATAGACATCCTATACAAGTCCCTGTTGGTTTTACATTTCCATTCGTTATCAAATGTAAACATTGATGGGAGGTATCAAAGTGAGATTTTGTTTTCGTACATATGGATGTTTTCATGTAAACATTTAAATGACAAAAAAGAAGTTATTGATAAAATGTTGCATATTTATGTAATGATGATCATCAATCATATGAGTTTCTGGACTTAGAAGTTCTGGAATGGTTGTGAGATAAGTTTAAATGGAAGCAACTATTTTCAGTCAAACAAATCAGTCACATTGATTAGTAAGCATGTTTTCTAAATAATTAGAGTTAATGATTTAGGAGGGTAATAAGGTTTCCAGTTTGTCCCTATTAGGTCACTAAGGTTTTTTTGTGCGTATTAGACCAATATAGTTGTTATTACCGTTTAGAAATAGTCATTTTTACCCGTTAAAACCGGTAAAATGACTATTTTTTAAACGGTAATAACAACCATATTGGTCTAATACGCACAAAAAAAACCTTAGTGACCTAATACGAACAAGCTGGAAACCTTATTACCCTCCTAAATCATTATCCCGAATATAATTGTTGTAATAATAAAGTTATCACATTAATTAGCTAAAATATAAACAAAAAAAAGTTACTGACCTACCTAATTATACTAAAAATATATTTGTTTCATAAATTACTTAATCGTTTACTGTACCCTCTTTAATATTTATATTCGTATAACACATAGCAATTCATTCAACCGTCAGTCATTGGTACGAATAAATTTTTATATACTATGTAATGAATTTAAAATTTTAGTTTTTTTATTATTTTATGTTGACAACACATGAGTCAATAATTATGAAATTATTAATTCTGGTAAATGAGTCAATAATTTTTTATTACTATAGTCTATATTTCTTAATTAATGGTACGAATCAATTATTTCTTAATTAATTGCTAATTAATTATATTAGTCAAGTTGACTCTAACTCAATACTTTTCCTTTAAAAATCATTTTGTACACTCCTATGTCGAGTGTTACACGTCTATAGTCGTCGAATCTCATCGCAAATTTAAACTGATTTTTTTTTTCTTAAAAGATAATCTACTAAGTGTCTAAGTCCATATAGTTTACAATACATTTCTTATTTAGAAAATAGACAAATTTCAAAAGAAAACCTTTATATTTGCCATCTTTTACCTGAAAAACTACTACGAAATTACAACATTTTTTGGGGAAATTCTTTTTGCATTCAAATCATTATTACCTACTTACATGGACTCAATCTAGTCGTGTGGAAAAGAGTCCAAAACATTCAGTATGACATATGTTGATCAGAAATTATTGTAAACATGACTTAAAAAAAAAAAACAAACATATAATTAATGATTATGTTGTTGTAAGCATACAAGACAGATAAAGAAGGCTTATATATGCAAGATATGGGTATTATTATTTATATAATCAAAATCTATATAGTGAGATATGCTTTTACCATAGTTGCCCCTGTCGGATCAGAAAGTAAATGTCTAACCAGTTCCATTCTCAAGCTGTGAGGTGCTATCACAAACATATACAGCGCAAATATTATCAAATCCGTTGAAGATAAAGAAGATCCCAAAAATCCCCACCACATCCTGCATACAAATCATTCTCAAAGGTTTAAAATGCAAATTCTACCAAGTGAAAGGTCTGAAATGAAAATCGTACCAAGTGGAAGGTTTAAAACGAAAAATAATTATACCATTTGGGCAAACGAAAGAAAGTACGGAAAAATGTACGTGTTCCCTCTAGATCCATTAGCACGATGTGTGATAGTCCAAACAGAAAGAAGGCTCGCTGTCTTTTCCTTTCAAGTGGCCACAGTGTTTCCCATGCTTTAATTAAAACAATTTATATTAATCAAAAAGAAATTCCATAATTAGAAAAGTGAAGCCTTGGGTCTGACTCAAATAGCGCCTATACCTTGTTTTGAAATGTTAGTGTATTTTCCAAGAGAAATCATTTCTTTAGATTGATCTTGTCTTAAAATCTTAGCAATAACCGCTGCATAATTAGGAGCTTCTGACAAAGATCGGACAACTGAATACCCTGTGGCAGGGTGCACCATACTAGCTGCAGCACCAAATGCGAGATTCTTTTGTTCTGTATTAGGTAACGATCCACCTACGGGTATATACGACCATTCCTTCAAAATATTAAATAAAACCAAATTAGTACAAGTCTCTGTTAGATATGTGGAGTCCTTGATTTACTCTGTGTGTGTGTGTGTGTGTGTTAATAGCACCTCTTCGTATGTTCTTGTTATTCGGATACCCATTGCCTTCAATCGTGACATGAGTTTTGACTTTAAAAGATTGAAAGGCATGGCTTCTCTTGAAGCTAGACAAGTTTCCTCAAAGAATATTTTTGTTGGAGACATGGCCATGACATAGAGGAAAGTTGGATATTTTGCTTCTAAAGATTCTGGTTTATGTTTTGAGACGTCTCTGTAATCCATGAACACCATTAGATCTGGATCATATGGGTTGTTTTCAACCTACAATAACAACTTTATATAAAAATATATCTTCTCAATATTCAAATTCATCAGTATTATTTTGTGTTTTTAGTTTTTACCTCAACCTCTATACCATAAGCTGTTTGGACACAAACACGAGGACCCCCAAGTTCATACTCCAGAAATTTCCCTGAAGCTGCCCCTGATGCAACAGTAGCAAGCCTAAAAGAAAGAAAAGTATTATTTTACAAAGCTTAGATTATGGGAGATATTACATATTTACATATATATAAGTTTATAATAATCTACCTGCATGGAATGGTGATGTTGCCTTCACATTCAATGAGACTATAGCCATTTGGAGCTTCAGTGATTCGTTCTACTTTGGAGCTTAGATATGAGACACCTGACTCCACACACCTAAAAAGCTTCATAGGAATTAGACTTAAAAGTAGTTTGCTATATATTGGAATTTGGAAACAACCAAAAGGGGTATTATTACCTTCTTAACAACTCTTCATGAAGTAAATCACGATGAACTCTACCATATGCACGACCTATGCGGATGGGATCAGCATCATCATCAAGGTATACAAGAGTATCTTGCCAGGAATGTTCAATGCATCCTTCAAGTCCAAGACCTGAAAGAAATTTGGTGATTGGTAGCGTTTAGAGATTGAAATCAGATAATACTACATACAGAAAGTGGAAATCAAGGATATCTATACCTATAAATTCATCCTGCCAAACACCATAATTGTTTGTAAAAGGAAGATCAGGACCAATGAGTCCAACGTTCAACCCTAGTTTGGCTGATTCTGCAGCAAGAGCAAGGCCAGCAGGGCCACAACCGATTACAACCAGATCAAGTATGCAATTTCCAATTGGTATCTGTGCTAGCTGCATCAACGAGGTGAAGTTTTTCAGGAGATAACAAACAGATAACTGATTCAAAATTTGCTACTGGAAAATAACATATGGTGTATGCAAAGAAATTTGGAAGGATTGTTGTTTCATGAAGAAAAGTTCAAAAGTCCTTATTCACAGACAGACTTTTAGTGTCCCAAAAATGGTGAAGATGCATACGCAATTGGCACTTAACATAACCCTTACTTTCTAGTAGGCCGAGTGAATCGAAACTCCTTCAGAGAATATTAACTAAATGTAGTAAATCAGAAGATTGTGGAGAGAAAAGAGAAAACAAACAAACACAAAGCTCTAGTAATAAGTACGAGTGGCAATTGCTTCAATCCGAAATGGTAATCGAATAATTCACCTTTTCGGAAAGTTTAGATTGGCTTTCCATGGACTTAGTCCGCTGCATTTGAACAAAAAACAGCTCCGATCCACCGGCCTTCACATAATCTTCTTCGTCTGCTACGGAAATCCCTTGTTTATCCACTACACAACGGTCGCTTTTAGAGCTGCACTTAATTTGACGCAACGAAGACGATGCTGATACACTAGTAAATCTTCGCTGTTTTAGTAGCGAAATTTTTTGCCTGATATTACAGTCCGTGAATCTAGGGCACGTAAAAACCGCCATTGTTGCCGTCATGTTTCGAGCTCCAAAGCACTCCATTGATTCTTCTATCACAAATCAAGTTTTCAAGATTACAAATAATTCAATTTTGAAGAACTTTCACGTCATTTGTTTCGAAAACGATAATTTAATTACGAAAAATTGAAGGAAAATATCTCGAACTCTGTTCTACGCTTTCTATCTCTTTCTGACTGGTTTTGGTTTTTGTATGGATAGGGGATGAGTTCTTCACCAGACATCTTGTAATGCCACGTACAATGTCATCACGAGCTTTTCTGACGTGGCATGATATGATTGGCTACTTCAATAGCCATCTCCCCACAGCAACTTTTTATGACTTTAAATATGCTTCCTTCCGTATAGGTATACGATTAAATTTGGTCAAAATTTTAATAATTCTCGAGAAGTCGACGACAAAAAATACAATATTATAGATTAAATTTAGGGAAATTTTGTTAAAAGATAAGAATACATATATATATATATATATATATATATATATATATATATATATATATATATATATATATATATATATATATGTTCAGATTCATTTGAGATCATTCTAATTTTGTGAAATCATGAGATCAAATCTAAAAATAATTTTAAAATGCAAAATAAATGGAAAAATCCAAAAAATCTTTTTTTAAATTTTATTTTCGGAACTTGAATTAACTAAAAAAATATTAAAAAATAAAAAAAAATTCCGTTTTTTTTTTTTGAAAAATACGTGAAATATTCTAAATATAATATTACACTGACATATTCTAAAAAATAATTTTAAAATGCAAAATAAATGGAAAAATCTAAAAATTCTTTTTTTAAATATTATTTTCGGAACTTGAATTAACTAAAAAAAATTAAAAAAATTCTATCTTTTTTGAAAAATACGTGAAATATTCTAAATAGAATATTACACTATACATATTCTAAAAATAATTTTAAAATGCAAAATAAATGGAAAAATCAAAAAATTCTTTTTTTAAATATTATTTTCGGAACATGAATTAACTAAAAAAAATAAAAAAATGCGTCTCACGGTCTCACAAAATATAGGTGGTCTCAAATGAACCTAACCCTATATATATATATATATATATATATATATATATATATATATATATATATATATATATATATATATATATATTAATATATATATATATATATATATATATATATATATATATATCCGTAGAAAACTTATAGTTTTCCGAGAACAAAACTGTGGATGTTATATCAAAATCAACTCATTAGGGCATTATCGTTATTTTACCAATCTCATTTAATGTTTAATTTTTTGTGTTACTGAAAATACTAATAAAAATGTCAAAAAACTAGCATAATGTATTAATATCAATCTCATTTAATTTTTAATTTTTGTGTTACTGAAAATATTAATAAAAATATCAAAAAAAACTAACATAATAGATTAACTTTTTTTGATTATTTTTTAAATAATAATTTTGGATTTCTACAAAATGCATATTTTTAAATTTTTTTAGAAAACATGATTTTTTTAATAAAATAGAAAAAAATCTTTTTTTAAATAAACTGTAATTTTCTAAAATCAATAAGTTTCTAAAAATCAATAAATTGTAATATATATATATATATATATATATATATATATATATATATATATATATATATATATATATATATATATATATATATATATATATATATATATATATATATATAATATTTTATAAAATAACTATAACTTTTTAAACAAAAAAAATCAACGTTTTAGGTGTATATATATTTTCTTTTCAAGTGTATATATACATATTTTTTATACTATAATATTTTTAAATAAATCATAAAAGAAATTTATTTACTAATTTATAAACATAATAATACAACTATTTTACTCGATATAAAATAAAATATAAAAAAATACTACAAAATTTCAAAGTATTTTCATTTCTTCGTGTCAAGATTTTCATATTTTTTAATTTATCATTTTTCACCTCTTAAATATTTTCCACAATTCTTCCAAATCTACAAGAAAGTTTAAGAAAAAAATTTGATTAATGCAAGAACACTAATAAAAATGCATATTTATATATCATATAAGATTCACATGTGATCATATTATGTAAAATTCGCGTATGATTATATAATGTGATATTCACATGTGATTGAATCTTTTAAGATTTAAACATGAAATTTGTAAGAAAAGTTAAAGAAAAAATTAACGAAGAACACTCACACAAAATACATGTGTGCATATAGACGTAATTCATATGTGATTCACTTATGATTTAAATGTGAATCACATGTAAATCACAAATGATTGGCATGTGAATCACAAGTTAATCACATATGAATTACATGTGATTCGTATGTGAATTACATGTGATTTACAAGTGAATCACATATAATTCATATGTGAGTTACATGTAATTCATATGTGATTCATATGTGAATTACATGTGAACCACATGTAACTCATATGCGAATTACATGTTATTTACATGTGAATCACGTGTAATTCATATGTGATTCATTTGTGATTTACATATAAATCATATGTAATACAGATGTGAATTACTAAAGAAGCAGATGGTGATTATTAGTGCATAAACAAACTGAAAGAGTTTCATAAAATTGACATGCAAGATACAAGCATACAAAAGCATAACCACACATGATTTTTTCACAATAATAACTGCAACTATGGAATTTAAGCTATTAACAACATTTTTTCATGCTAAAAGTGGACGAAGTCAACAAATGATGTTCCAATTGGTTAAACAATATGGTAATGCAATTGCTTGAAGTATAATACCATATTTGTATTGTATCACTGTTTCATAATCTGTAACGATCATCTTCCGAGGTATAAATTTATTTAAATTCTCAAGTTTTATTTTGGGCTATAATAGAATTGTATATTGGAGTGGGCCTTTTTGTTTTGGGCCAAGTCATAGCCTGCCCAAAAGTCGTACGCGGGGCGTAACCCGTTGTATGCTGGGCATAATGATTAAATGAAGCGCGGGGAGGAGAAGCGTATGCGCAGCGTACCATATGGTACGCCCAGCGTACGTGGCCAGAGGAAAAACCCTATTTTTAGGGGTTTAAGGCTATATAAACCCCATTGGGCCTTAATGGACCATCAGAATTCAGTTGTTAAGGACCAAGGATTTAGTATTGGGCTTGAGTAAGGCCCAATATAGCAAATTGGGCCATTAGTGGGCCTATAGTGGGGCCATGGATGGACTTAGAAGGAATTGAGGGTTTTTGGCCATGTTGTGACCCATGCCATAGCAGGGGTAAAATTGTCATTTTACCCATAGGAGAATCCATATTATGATTTAGTATTTTATTTCCCATGATAGCTAGGAAGCAGCCGGAGCAGCTGTCAGGGATTTCTCATTCAGGAGTTCAGCAGTCAGCATCACGAGATGAGTTTCCTTCCAGTAGGAACGGGTCTACGGCCACAATGTTGGCCCGTTTAGTTAGCAGTTAGTTTCCGAACTTCGGTCCGATGCAATAGTTAGATTGCTTGATGTCTTTGTGATTCAAGCATGTTTTGTGTTATGTGTTCCGGACTTCGGTCCAATGCAGTATGTAGTATATGTGCTTATGCTAGTTGATATGTTTATGCTATGCTATGTTATGCTCAGTCAGTTTTCGGACTTCGGTCCGATGCAAGGGACAAGGTCCCAGTTAGTTCCGGATTTCGATCCGATGCAGTTAGTTACGGGCTTCGGTCTGATGCAGGGGACAAGGTCCCAGTCAGTTCCGGATTTCGGTCCGATGCAGGGGACAAGGTCCCAGTCACTTCCGGACTTCGGTCCGATGCAGAGGGCAAGGCCCTGGTTAGTTCCAGACTTCGTTCCAATGCAATGGGAAAGGCCCAGTATGTGTTTATATGTTATTGTATGGTATGTGGTAGTTTGGGGGAGCTCACTAAGCTTCGTGCTTACAGTTTCAGTTTTGGTTTCAAGTCCTTCCACAAGTAAAGGGAAGAGCTCGGGATGATGGCATCGCACACACCACAGCTTCAGTTTTTGTCATGGGAGTTGATTTAGCTTTTCATAGATATGATTTGATACAGTCTTGATACAATTTTCTCGTGATACTTTGTTATGGTTTTGAGATATTGACGTATGGGTTTTATTTTATGGTATTGATCTAATGATTTTAGTAATGATTAAACAAAAAATTTTCAGTCGTATTTTAGGATGTTACAAGTTGGTATCAGAGCCTTGGTTTGAGGGATTCGAATACACTTTCGGGTGTGTCTGAACTCAAACTAAGGACACGGTAAAAGATTTTCAAAGGAAAAACATTTTCGAAAAGGATTTTTTTTTAAAATGAACTTAGAAAGAAAAAGAGTTTTGATAAAGAGAAAAATGTGTGGTGTGTGCGATCAGCCGAGCTCAAGTAAGTACTCCCAAATTACCCAGAAAAGTTTATATTATCAGTTTCAGTTCCAGATCAGTTCAGTTTCAGTTTCAGTATACCAACATGCTAGTATAGGACTAAGGATCTAGGAGGATGCCTTATGTGCTTGCTTTATGTCTTTCAGCTTGATGAGAATTGCATGCTAGTAGTGAGTAGACAGTAGTAGGAGAGCATGTGTAGGTTATGTCTGATAGTATGAGCTTAGCATTGTATGCTAGTATAGTTTCTTGTTATGAGAATAGTTTGCATGAGTATGTTTCCTTTATCCGAATGCTGCTTGCTTTGTGCTTTGTGGGACTTTGAGTGATGGGAATTAGCCATTAGGTGAATACATCACGTCACATGTGGTCAGGGTTGAATAATCTCAGAGTGCTAGATTTGACCCTAGTCTGCAACTCTCGTTTGAGTCTAACCGTTGTAGGGATGAGTCTTTTACTCGAAGGATTATCCGAGCCTCATTGCATGTAATGGTATTCAGGTGGTGGCTAATTGGCATTACAAGGAGGCCTTCAGCAGCTGAGGGCTGGTTTGGTTGGAGTCAAAGGTTTCCCTAGGTCAAGCCTAGGATGTGAGTAGCAGAAGTCAGTAGTAGTAAAGTGACTTGGTGGAGTTAAGGCAGTTCTTGAGGAAAGTACGAATAGATGTGGAAGGTAGTATGTGCCCGTACTACTGAAAGCAGAGGATCCGTACTCGAATCAAGGAATGTTGAGATGAAACGGGAAGCTTGTAGTAGCAGCGATCCCTTGAGATATTTCAGTGTACTGACGTTTGCGATGATATGTTTTCAGAATGGTGGTTTTGCGACCTAGGCCAGCAGCCG